AAGTTTTCAAGTCTTGTTTTATTTGGTTTTGCCTTTGCTAAATGTCAACATGGTGTGTTTTGACTATGGACGGCCTATTTGTCATCGATAGCCGTATAGAGTGATATAGCTTCAAATCAAATTAAATAGAAAGTAATGGTAGAGATGTAGTAAGATTTTATACATTTTTTGGTATGAAAATCTTTATCGTATCCAGACACACGGAGAGTAATTTTTTAGTAATAATCCATTTTCTGTTCCTCCTAAATCACACGTGTAGTAAGTGGTAATCCCTTTTTTCCATCTTCTAGATCCCTCTCCCTACATCCTGACACCAATTTCCATTAAGTATCGCTGCTTACATGCGATGCAACGATGACATTGAATATTAATTCAACTAATTTAATTTAGCACTTGTTTGACACTCATTATAGAGAGAAATTTTGGTAAAATGTATTATGGGATAGCATTTTTTGAGAGAATGTATGGTTAATAAAGAAGGAAATTTTTTTAATTTACATGTAATATTATTTTATTGAAGAATGTGTATTTGAAAAAAAAATGTATTAAAATTTTAAAGAGTGTCAAACAAGGGCTTAATTATTGAGTGTGTCATTTCACATCTGCTTGCAAATGTGCTCCTTAGATAATTCATCTATCTAGCTTTGAATTTATGCAAACTTGATAATATTATTATTGTAGACTTGTCATAACTTCAAATATCTATTGGAAATAATTTTTATTCATCCATTGAATCTTTGCTGAAAAAAAATATCGCAATCAATTGAATTTTTAAATCTAGATGATTACTTATTCATAGGCTATTACGAGATACAATTCCAAATGGATTTTTTGTATGTGCCTTACTTACAATTGCAAAACTACGACTTTCTAGTTTCTATGTAACCAAATCCTTCAAAAACAAATTTTAGTTCATTCAAATCATGGAGGTTAAATTTAAAAATTAATAAAAAAAAACTCTTATCATATTTTTTCCCTAGTATAACAAAATTTAACTTTGACGCAATCATCCTTAATTTCTAGTGATTGAACAACCTTATGACGTATAATTTTTCTAATTTAGTGGATTTAAAAAAATAAATCGAAATATCGACCAATTTCATTATTTCACTCCTATATTAATTAAGTTGTGGAAAGCACATGTCAATTAGATTTCCATCTTGTACATTGAACATTCCACACACGCTTTTGTCCCAATGTAATATTCTAGTGTCTACAAAATTTGTGTAAAAGAGAAATTACAAATAGTATATAAAAATCAAGAAATTCATTATCTTTGGTCCCCCAAAAAAATAAAAAATAAAAAAAACCGACCAATATAAATAGAGTTTACTTCCACTACCCGTGACATAACAGCATTCAGAAAATCAACACGCTTCAACTAATCCTCCCACTCTTCCCTCTTCTTGCTCTGTAACTGATAACGGAAGAAATCACTACACGCAAAGCAGCACAATATTGAAACTATTGAATACAATCAAGAAGCCATTTACCGATTGGATCTAACGTCATGGCTCACTGGATCTCTTCCAAGCTCAAAGCCCCTGAAACTCTTCTCCATCAGGTATGTCTCCAATAATCTTCTCTTGAATTCGGGTGATTTTTTATTATTATTATTTTTTTTGCAGTAATTTAATTCTGTTTTCCTGCTTTGTGAACAATTATTCACTAAATTCCGATTCTTTATGTAAACTTTTTGATTGGATGATTCAGATCGATCGTTAAGCTGCAGAATCACTGGGTCAAATTGAGAAGCCACGATTTGATGAACAATTAGGTCTTGAAACCCCGCCAAAGATGGGGTAAACTAGGTCATTGATTAAGTAGCATGTTAAAAAAAAGGTGCCTGAAAATGTCAGCGAGAACAATAATTTAAAATGTAACTGGTCGCAGTGATAGTAATATTAAACGGGATGATGATGTTGGAGTATCAGTGAATTTGAACTCGAAGTCAAATTCGAGGAGGGGACTTACAAATCCTGATGGTGATTGGACGGAATTATTGAGCGTGCCAAATAGAAATGTAGCATCCATGGGGTGTGAGTGGGAATCAGAGTAGCATTGGAGCGTTGGGGATTAGGGGTTTGAAGAAAGATGGTATGAAACGAGGGAGATTGAGGTCGAAGGTATTAGAGGGGAAAAGGATTGAGAATGGACGGAATAATAGTGTTCTGTATGGTTCAAGAAAATCTAATGTTGAGTTGGAGGGTAACGCAAATGGTGGTGGTAGTTCGGATAGTGGGATGGCAAGTTACTCAGAAGGTGCAATGTGAAAAACTTCGATTTCCAAATTTCAGAGCGAGGGAGGTGAATCAGATCGAAAGGACATAAGTGATGCACTTGTGCCTGATAACAACTATGAGGCAGATACGGGGAAAAATGATGAGGTGAATGGCAATGGAGATGGAGAGAAGCTACGTTCTACAGATGGTTTGACCAGTAAAGATCATCTCATGGAGATGGTGCCAGCTTCTTTTTTGATAGGAAATTGAATATGAAGTTTCAAATGAAGAGCAGTGAGAGGTTTAAGAGTGGAATGTTAAAGAACAATAAATCAAAAGTGGGTTCCAGAAGTACAAGTTCTATGAAGAAAGATTCTTCTTCCCCAAGGGACGAAGAATCTGATTCTGAGACAGATACAACTTCATCTTCAGATCCAGAGAGAGAACGCGAGAGGGCAGAAAGGATAAAAGATGGCAGCAGATTCTGGCAGAAAGAGTAGCTGCCAAAGCAGTTGAGGCTATCAAAGATCATGATAACCTGGTTGCTAAATTGGAGGGGGAGAAACAGAGTTTAGAGAAAATACTTGAAGATCCGGCCAAACAGCAAGTACAGGAGGTAAGTATTTCAGGGCTATTTAAAATTTTTTATGTACCATTATTGAAATAATTATTACAGTGATTGATAAAGTTACTCCGAAACCATGTCTCCCTATTTTCTGGCATTAACTACGGAAATTGTCACAATATTGTATCAACGTAAAACCAGACAAGGACATATTCATTTGTTACTTATAGAAGTGCATATTTAGAGATAATATACAAAGCATTTGTGCAATAACAAGTGAACCAAGGTGGTACTCTTAATATCATATGATACAGAAGTACAGAATGGTCTCTCTATAATTTGAAGTTTGGGTCATAATTATCTTCCATGAGTAACAAGCTTAATTTCTTCACTCTTTTCACATGTTCCATTCTTAACACCAGTAACAGTGTCACAATCGTTTGTCTTGCTAAAATTGATTTATGTCTTAGTGTTGTTATATTAAATGCTTAATCACAGGTAAAAGTCATCTTACTTTATCATTTTCCTTATACTACTAATCATAGGAATTGTTCTTCAATTTAAACATGCTTATCAGTTGTTATACTCTATGATCAACCAAAAGCTACCTGTTTGCGAATCTTTGACCCTTTTTTGTTCCTAAGTTTTAAACTGTCTATTGTTGTCCATCTTTCCTGTTGATTCTTCTGTTAGTTGAATTGATTTACTTCCTTTGTTGTTGTTATGACACCTTAGTTGCTTTGCCTTTGTAAGACCAACTCCACTGTTAATACTTATTTGGTAATTTTTCCAAGCTTCAGAATTGCATACATCAATGATGGAGATTATGGAAGCTGCTGATTTAGAGAAGCGAAAACATAACAATACACGTATGGAAGCAGTGTCACACGTATGGAAGCACTTATGAGACTGTCAAAACTTGCGGTGGTGTTATAATTTCATTAAAATAGATTTAAGCTTTAACTCTATAGTTGATATCTTATCAGATTTTAATTATTATCATTTAATTTTTGCCGTTGATGTTGTTAACGTTCTCAGTATGTTTATTCATTTCATTTACTCACTGCAGACTGCGAATGCCGACCTTGCAAGTTCTTTTGTTGCTGCACAGAAAAAACCTTGAAACAGAGGTACTTGAAAACCTCTGTAGTTGTTTATTGTGTTGCATTTTTCCTTTGCTCTCTCTCTCGCTCTGCCCCCCCACCCCCCCTTTTTTTTGCTTCTTTTTTTTTTTTTTTTTTTTTTTTTTTTTTTTTTTTTTTTT